CACGCTCGCATTTTGGCGACGACGACAGGACTATAATTGACAGCTAGATCCTCATATCTGCTGTTGGAAGATTATAGTCAAGAACCTATAAACATAAATTAATTAAGCAAAAGTGGAGGACGATAGTACTATCTTGATTATAGAAGAAACACCATACCGGAAGAGCCCAGGATATCTGAGAGATACTACACTAGAAAACGCTACTAACTCCCCAGAAATATCACCACCAAAATCGACCCTTAGGGACCTAGAAAGGGCAATAACTGAAGTTACTAGTAAAAAGGTAGCATTAGAATTCCAAAGAGAAAAGGGTACAGAACTAGATAAAAGGGACCGGGAATTTAAAATACAGGAATACGAAAAGAAACTCCTTCAATACAGAGCATTAGTAGCAAAAGCAAAGGAAGACCAGATGAGTGGATTTTTTGGAGGAATATCAAGATCATTATCAGGGGGAGGCCAGAACACAACAAAAGAAGACAATTCGGAGACTAAACCAGTGGTTCAAATGGTAGAAGCAAAAACAGGTATTAAAACAGCAACAGGACCACCAGTGCCGGACCCATCAACAATAGTAAAAGAAAATAAAGAAAAAAAGAAAGAGGCCGGGGCATCTACTAGCAGCAGCAAGAATAGTAAGCCACAAAGTACTGCAGGGGACAATGTTGGAGGGACCAGTACGACAACACCAGTAACGGCAGGGACATCTACTAATCCACCAGAAAACCCATTTTGCATAATTAAAAACTGTAAAAATAAAAAACAAAAAGGAGCACAATTCTGCAAGAGCTGCTTGGATAAGCAGCTGGCAGCAAGACAATGTGTAACCAAGGATTGCACTAATGTGAAATTGGGAGGGTCGAAATTTTGCTCAAAGTGCGCCTCCAAAAATGACACAGTCTACTGCAAAGAGGGAACCTGCGTTGAACAAGCCCAAATGGGAGAATTATACTGTGCAGTGCATACATGCACAACCAATGGCTGTATGGAGCCAAGGGATGGGAATAGCCATCTGTGCAAAAACTGCTATCAGAAAGTAGAAGAACAAAGAAAGGAAAGAGTAAAGTGTGCAATATTACGATGTAATAACAGAAGGGAGATGGGCAATATCTTTTGCACAACATGCAGGGGATCTTTTTGTGAACAGTGTGGGACAGATAAGGACGTGGGTGACCGATATTGTCGGGGGTGTAAATGTCAAATAGATTCATGCGAAAACAAAAGAGAAGATTATAAAACCTTTTGTAAGGAATGTCAAGAGGACCCAAGAAGGTGTATAACGGAAGACTGCCCTAGGGCAAAGCTAAGTGGAGGAAGCTATTGTGAAAATTGTAGAAGAAGGGATTTGAGAAGATGCCCAGCCCCTTTCTGTACGGAATGGAATCACATAAATAACACTCAGTGCCAACACTGTGGAGCCAAAATAAGACAATGTGAAGAACAGGGATGTGAAAACCTTGTGCTAGAGGACGCAATGTACTGTTGGCCCTGTGAAAAGAATCTACCAGAGTGCATAAGGGAAGGATGCCGAAGCTCAGTGCAGCATAGGTCAAATCGGTACTGTGATGTTTGCTTTAATAACATGAGCCCACCAAACACACCATCACCAACAGTTTCTCGAACAGTCAGAATGGGGCAAGGAGCGGGACCTCAACCAAACTTAGCAGGAACTAGTATCCAGGGAATAGGAAGAACTGCCACACCACCACCAAGACAACCGCCTAATTGGCAAACAACAGTCACACAACCACCAGGGGGCCAGCAGGGTATAGTTGATCCATTCATCACAGTTATTAGGTCATCTTCCCCACCAATTCTACCAATTACACAACCAATTGCAATACCAGTACCCACTACACAACCACAACCACCACCACCACAGCCAATAGCTCCACAACCAATGCCGCCACTAGTACCATTTCCACAGCAACCACCAGTGACTACCCAACAGCAGCAGTTGCCATTACCAATACCACCAGTTACAGTGGCAAGCACTCAACCAACACAACCACCACCAGGGCAACCACCAGTGGGAGGAACATTTGGGTCCGGGCTGGGGATAGGAGGACCACCACCACCAATATGGACACCACAACCACCAGTACCACCCCCACCAGTACAACAACTCATACAAGGAAACAACCAACCACCACAACCACAACCACAACCACCACCAGTGAATAGTGGTAATGGGCCAGTGGGCAACAATAATAACCAGCCACAACCCCACCTATTCGGAGGAGTGCCACCACTGCCACCAAATAATAACAATAATCAACCGCCACCACTAAATATTGGAGGGGGATTACCCTTCTCCCCATTACCACCATATGGCAGAGGAGGAGGAGGAGGAACAGGAGGCCCTGGAGGACCAGGGGGACCAGGACCAGGCGGAATGGGTGGAGGAGGAGCAGGAGGACCAGCATCACCAGCGGGAGATTTAGTTAATGCACTAGTAAACCTGGCAAATAGAATGGATCGCCCAAACAGAGGAGGGGAACAAAGATTAGTAGAGCTACCTAAATTCAATGGAGATATTGATGACCCATACCAATGGTGGAGAAGCTTTAATGAAGCATGTGAGGCAAATAATATTTCTCTGGAAAGGAGACTGCAAATAGTACCAACATGTTTGAAAGGACAGGCTGAAGTCTGGAGGAAGACACCAGGCTTAGTTATTCTAACATGGGATGGATGGCCAGGAACTTATGAAGAGACAGTCAGCTTTAGGAAACAATTTTTTGACTATTTTAGCACAACACAACATCAACAAAAATGGATGAATGAACTAAGGAATCGACGAATGAAAGAGGGGGAAACTGTGGATGCCTATGCAGGAGCATTAACCGAACTATACATGAAAGCAGACCCATTGGGACAATACCCCGAAAGTGATAAATTACAAGCATTCCTAAATGGACTACCAAGTCAAATAAGAATGTTCACCGAGTTAGCAGTGCCCAGGGGATTCAGAGAGGCTTGGGAACAAGCAAAGAAAGTGGAAAGCACCTTAAGAAAAGATAACCCCTTTAATAATGATAGTCTTCAACACATCAACACATTAGTAGCTACCCAAGTAACACAACTAGGACAGAATGTGAATACACTAGCCATGGAAATCAGAGAAGGTCGGAAATGTAACCTTTGTAACCAGCCAGGACATGAAGCCATAAACTGTAATCAACGAACCATGAACCAATGGCCAAACAGGAAAAGTAATGAGCAACCAGGGGAATGTTTCCACTGTAATAAAACAGGACATTGGGCAAGGAACTGCCCAGAAAGAAACAAACGAGCAAAATGTTACAATTGTGGAAAAGAAGGCCACATATCAAGTCAATGTAAGTGGCAACCTGTGGCAGTAGTACAAAGACAACAACCACGGCAACAGGGGAGGAATTACCAGCAAAAAACTAATAATAATCAGCAACAACCAAGAAGAGTTCTATTGAACCAGGAGCATTATGAAGAACAACAAGATTATGCTGAATATCAACCACCAGTATACTATCAAAATCAACAACCCATACAAAACTACCAACAACAATACCTACCACCTCAACCTATACAACAACAGCCACAAACAGATACATTTGGAGCTTTAGCTACAGCTGTGCACCAGCTAACTTCTAAACTCGAAAATTTAAAAGATTAAAAGCACCCCTGAAGGGGCAGGGTGGTGCTTTGGAAGAAAAGAAAGCCCCAGATAAAAAGATAGATGCCATAACCAGCAAAGTCCTCATTGATAATAGAGAAACAGAAGTTATAATCGATACAGGATCAGGACTAAGTGTAATTACAAAACAATATTTAGATAAGTTGGGGAAAAGGATTGACCAAGAATCCTACTCTCAGCTTATAGACGTGAACGGAAATAAAACAAGACCATTGGGAATAGCCAAAGAAATATTGGTAACCCTTGATGGGAAAAGACCAATAAACATAGACATGGTAGTACTAAAAGCAGATAACTACGATGTGATATTAGGAAATAATTGGCTTGGACAGATAGAAGCCACTATCAACTTTAAAAAGAAAATACTTGAAGCTAAAGAAAATGGCAAAATAATACAACATCCAATCATATTTGAAAAAGAACCGAAGGAAGTAATATTTGAGGGAAATGAGCTATATGAGGATGAAGTATTACAGGAAGAAGCAGCATATTTCGTAGAAGATATGGGAGGAGAATGGAAGGAAACCCCAGTATTGACTATCAAAGGGGAAGCCAACCTAATACATAAACAAGAACAACAATTGGATAAATTCATAAATGAATACAAAGATAGGTTTGCAGAAGACCTTTTGGAACTAGGACGAATAAAAGACTATGAACATCATATACCTACTACATGTGAATGGCCAATTAAAAATAGACCCTATAGACATGACAGGGAGAAAAGAACATTCATAAGAGAAGAAGTTGAAAGAATGATCAATGCTGGAATTGTCAAAGAATCAAATAGCGCATGGACATCACCAGTTGTAGTGGTGAAGAAAAAGAATGGCAAATTGAGATTATGTGTGGACTATAGAAAATTGAATGAGAAAACCAAACGAGATGAATATCCACTGCCAATGATAAATGATATATTTGATACAATGGCAGGAGCAAAATGGTTCACCACATTAGATTGTATGAGTGGATATTGGCAAATGAAAGTTGCTGAGGAAGATCAAGAAAAGACAGCTTTTATCACAGAAGATGGATTATACGAATTCACAGTGATGCCATTCGGACTAACCAATGCACCGGCAGCATTCCAAAGAATGATGGACAGAGTTTTTAAGGATTATAAAGGAAAATTCGTGAACGTGTACCTTGATGACATAACCATATACTCAAATACATTTGAAGAACACTTACAACACTTGAGGAAAGTTTTTGATAAATTAAGGGCGGTAGACCTTAAATTAGGAAGAGAAAAATGCGAATTTGCGAAACCAGAACTACATCTACTGGGGCATATCATTGGAAAAGATGGCAAAAAGCCAGACCCGGCAAAGGTTGAAGTAATTAAGAATTGGCCGACACCAAAAACAGTAAAAGATGTTAGATCATTTCTAGGATTAGCATCCTACTACAGGAAGTTTATGCCTGGATTTTCAAAAGAAGCATTGCCAATGTTTAAACTAATAAAGAAGGATACACCATTTGAATGGACAAAAGACTGCCAAGAGGCATTTGAAAGGCTGAAAGAGCTTTTGACAAAGGAACCTATCCTAAGACATCCGGATTTCAATAAACCATTTATACTTTCAACAGACGGATCCAAGTTTGGATTAGGAGCCATCTTGGCACAAAAGGATGATGAAGGGAGGGTAGGAGTAATTGCTTATGCTAGTAAAACATTGGTAGGAGCACAACAAAATTACTCAGCATCAGAATTAGAATTACTGGCTGTAAAATGGGCCACAGACCAGTTTCATGTATATTTGCTTGGAAAACCCTTTACCATAATAACAGACCATCAACCGTTAAAATATCAATTCAGTACACTCGCTTTAAATAATCGAATGCAGAAATGGCTAGTACACCTACAACAATACTCGTTTAAAATTGAATATAACCCAGGACGTGCTCAAGGACATGTGGACGCTTTGTCAAGATTACAGACCAACAAGTCTATAAACTGTATAAATAATTAAGAGAGCCTTAAGGAGAGAAAACCAGCACTAATGGATATTCAATTATACGAGTCAATAAAATATTATTTAACAAACCATCGATTACCAAGCAATGTACCAATAGATATTCAACAAACTACACTAAAGAAAGTACATGAATTTACACTTAAAAACGATAAATTATTTTGGATTAAGAATGATATGGAAAAGAGGGTTATAAGAAGAAATGAGTTAGAAGAAGTACTATTTAACTTACACGGAAGTCAACTATCAGGACATTTTAATACGGAAGCAACATTTAATAGGGCCAAACAAAATTATTACTGGCCAAGAATGTATAGAGAAGTAGAAAATTATGTGAAGAGTTGTGACACATGCCAAAGATTAGGAAATAAAAAGAAGTCAAATGAACTCCACCCCATACCGGTTGGACGAGCATTTGAACGGATAGGAATAGATATTGTAGGACCATTATCAATAACATCAAAGGGAAATCGCTATATAATAGTAGCAACAGATTATCTTACTAAATGGCCGGAGGCAAGGGCCATTCAAAATATACAAGCAGAAACAGTCGCTCAATTCATTTATGAAGATATAATTTGTAGGCATGGAACACCAAGTGAATTGTTATCTGATCGAGGAACATCATTTGTTAACAGCACCATAAAAGCACTATGCGAAACAATGGAAATTAATCATGTACTCACTACATCATACCATCCACAGACAAATGGATTGACTGAAAGGTTCAACAAAACATTGTGTGAAACAATTGCTAAATTCGTAATACAGCACAAAGGAGAATGGGACCAATATGTTTCGTCAGCTTTATTAGCTTACCGAACTAAAACACAGAAATCAACAAAGTTTACGCCATTCTTTCTTGTGTATGGGAGACAAGCACAAACACCACTTACACAGAAATTTGGAATGGAAGATAACGATTTAGAACACGATTTAGAAGACCATGTAGATCTGATAACGGAAAGATTACATCATGTACAAGGTATCGCAAAAGAAAACATAAACAAAGCACAAGAAGATCAGAAGGCTAGGTATGATAGGAAAGTGAAACCAAAACAATACCAGATAGGAGAACAAGTTTTATTACGGGAAAGTGCCCACGAAAATGTACATGGAGACAAGTTCAGAGAAAAATGGTTGGGACCTTATCTTATTCACCAAGTATGGAAAAGTGGAAGTTACAAGTTGCGCGAGATAGAATCACAAAGAATTCTGAGAACACCAATCAACGGGGATAGATTAAAGAAGTACTGGGCTAGACCGGCCTGGGTACCAGAAATTTTGATTGAATAAATCATGAACAATATTAAAGATCAATAAGGAGTAAACAATGATTTCAACGGCTGAAAATAAACAAAGCCACTTGAACAAAAATTCATTGAAAAGATAAGAAGATATAATATTTGTCAAACGTTACTAAGAAAATGACTCATCAAAGATAAGGGGTTGTAACAAAACAGAGTAACAAGATGAGATGGAAACACGAAAAATCAATTAGTGAAAAACTTCTTATAAAAAGGCAGAAAATTCAACCAAGTGGAAATTAACTTTTCAACTAACAATTGAATAATTAAATGCCTAAAGACCCAAATACCTTAATAACACCTAATAAAAATAAATATTTTATCTACGAAACAGCAAGTCCGAAGAAGACTCACTGCCGTAAAACAATTAATAATTATAATTACCATTCAACATCAACAGAATTTCTTTCAATTCGACCAATTAATCATTGGACAGAAAATAAAAACGATACCAAGTGGGAGTATTATACATTTTTAACAACTCAATTAATATTATCGCTCAGTGAATTTCAAAGAACACAAAATTGGGGAGATTGGAACAACTTTCAAAGAAACCAACACCTGTTGAGAAACCTAATACACAACTCAGTAAATTTGACATATTTTACACCACAAGAAGTCTCTCGGTCGAATGAAATTACAGGACAAGGGAAAGTACCACAAACACAGACGGGAAAGACAACTCAACCAAAATACCAATAAACAAAGGCTTGAACTTCAACAAGTAAATACTAGAATAAGAAAATTAACAAAAGCATATCTAGTACATAAACAACCAACTCAATTTATATTACTTGAAAAATATTGTTTACAAAGAAACCAACTGAGACAAAAATGGAACAAACACAAATGAACTCAATTGTCAAATTCTTGTCAAAGAAAGTACTAGCTGAAAAGCCAGGACCAAAAAGGCAAGTATTATGCGAATTATTGATAGAAGAATTGAATCGAGTATTGGTTACATCAGAGTTAAATACTCAGGAAGATGCCCTGACCGCTACACCAGGCAAAGGAAAGGATAAACAGCCAGTAGCGGAGGAAAATAAAATAATTGCTAGAACACAACAAAGTAACCTAGGAGCATCTTCTGAAAAAGAAAATGACCCGGAGGAAGGGGGTTCTAGTAGCAATCAATATCGAACAAACTTAATCATAGGAAGGGTGCAAGTAGAAACAAATTTTGATCCAATGAGAAGATGGGAACCAATTACATTCTTAAATCATAAAGATCAGCAACTGCCATGCAAATGTAATAAGACATGGTTGAAACAAAAGGCCCAAGAACATTTTGACTGGGTCAAACCAACAAGAAGGATGAATTACCACTGTTGTAACTGTGGAAGACCAACAGCAAAATCAGACACTCATACACCAAAAGAAGAAAAAATAAACAACCAGTAGTGGAGGAAAATAAAATTATCACTAGAACACAACAAATTAACCTGGGAGCATCTTCTGAAGAAGAAAATGATCTGGAGGAAGGGGGTTCTAGTAGTAATCAATATCAAACACACTTAACCATAGGAAGAATACCAATTTTAGTCCACTAAAAAGATGGGAATCAATTACATTTCTAAATCATAGGGAAAACCAGTTACAATGCAAATGCAATAAAACATGGTTGAAACAAAAGGCCCAGGAACATTTTGAATGGGTCAGCCTAACAAGAAGGGTGAATTATCATTGTTGCAACTGTGGAAGACCAACTGCAAAATCAGATACTCATGATGGATGGAAATGGGGATGTTACCAGCTATGTAATTCATGCTTTAAAAATAGATCTTACGACATTACAGAGGAATCATGGTACAATCAACCATGTAGAGTGTGCGACCAATTAATGACTGAAAGAGTCAATATTGGTTGGAACAATGATGTATGCTCGGAAATATGTAAATATGCATACTTGGCAGTAACATCTGCAAACATCTTTGCCCATGTTCCGCAAAAAGTTAGACATTATATAGAAGTTAAGAATTGCAGCGAAGATGAAGAGGAAGTATTAAGAGCTGCAGAAGCTTATTACATTAAATTAAATGGACCCGTAAATGAGGAAGAGTACCACCAAAGATATTATACAAATGAAACATGGCAAGAAGCCTGGAGACGCCTTGAACAAGAATATGAACAACTTGGACATAGAATGGATGCCTACCTCCAGGAGAACTCAGAGGATGAAGAATATATCCAGACTTTAAATCAGGCCTACCTTGGAAATAGAGAAGCCATAATGGAAAAATTACCAAGACTACTAAATTTAAAAGAACACCCAAGACATGCAACTGACAAGATCAATCTTTGTCATGAATGCCTGTTACCATTTAACGAGGAAGACTTAGTGACTGTGGGGAAAAGACTATTGTGCAAATTTATTAAAGAACAAAATGAGGAACCATGTTATCAAGGAGAATTAGAAGAAGAAAAAGAAAATATTAAACCAGAAAATGTAAAACGGTATCTTGAGCGAAGGAACAAGGAATATGCAGGAAAATTTATTATTTATCGCAATAAAAATAAAGAAAAGGCAACTAATGCATGGAAACCTTATACCTGCGAAAGGTGTAATGAGGCAATAATAATCCCACAAATGCGACAAGTCGTTAAATATATATCATGCGATAAATGTTACTTGGATTGGGCAAAAGAATTATATAAGGAGGAAAGAGAGAACGGAACTTTGGAAGAAAGGAGGAAACCACTCACAGGAGGATCCGGTGCTAGACATAGAAGAAACTTAAGAAGGCAGGGACGACAATTATAGATGATTTATCATGGGACGATAAATCTTAAGAAGGGGAAGATTGTGAGATTGTAAATAAGGACTGGGGAAGTCCCGAGCATGTCGATCAATCGGAACCAACTTACTGCGGTAGCCACGTGACAATGACATCATTTTCTATTTTTATCTTAATATTTTGTGTAACAACTACGCCACATACTGCGTCATGTTACACATTACATCATTTCTATTTTTAACTTATTTTATGACATAATTATTTACTTTTAATTATTAATTCAATTATTTGTAATAGTGACTCATAGGGTTAGTCATTATGAGTCATAGCATTAGTAATTAATGATTAGTAAGCTAGTATTACAGAAAATAGGATTAATAAGCATATATTATTGGACAAAATATTGTAAAGGTCATGTTATTTATAATACCTCAAGAGGTATAAATAGCCTTGGTTTTAGACCAAGTGAGAATCATCATGTTCATGATTCCATAATAATAATAATACAATAACCTTGTAACAGAAGTATTATCGCTAATAAAGACACATAACATCTTTACAATAAAACATTTGAACTCTTAATAAACCTCTTAATAAACCTTTGCTGAAAAGCATACCTCGCCTCAAATTAAGACCATACTAACTAAGGGACGCCTTAGTCAGACAGTGGAATATTGTTGATTATTTTTAGGCTTTGCCAGCAGTACTTCCATTAGTACTGTAAAGAGAGATTGCGCAATAGAGAGGCTCTGAGCTGTGTGCCGTAATCAGAGGCCGGAAGTTAAGACTCTGAGCTGTGTGCCGTAATCAGAGGTCGGAATTGAGAACCCTTAGCTGTGTGCGAAGATAGGGAGATTCATACATTAGAACTTTTAGTTTATCCTATATATTTTATTGGACACAACCCGAGCTGTAATTGAATTTACACGCTCGCAATATATATAATAATTGTACAGAAAATTTATGTTATTTTATAGCTTATCTTTCAAAGATTATGTATATAGAATATTATGTTACTAAATTTTCTAGAACTCGAGCAATTAAAATAAAAGAAATATGATCATTTTTGGAAAGAAAAAAATTTGACATGAAAATTTTTAAAAACCTACATATTAACATATTATGAGATTTTCAGATATGATGATTTAATTTTATCTGATTCTTGAGAAAAAAAATTTTTACATAACTTTGGATAGTATTTTTTTAATCAATTTTTTAAAGATTTGATAAAATTTTAAAATCATTTTTAATAGTAAAACTAGTAATAATTTGAAGTGAATAACTTATATTAATGGAATAATACCTTTTACTATGGGATTAATATGGGTTTTTGAAGAAATTAAAGGTTTTTACTAAATTATTTTGAAATTTTACAAGAAATTAAAGGGGTTTATAATCTACATACACAAAAATTTTGAACTGATTTGGACGCGTTTCGCGTAATTTTATTATGTAACTTGTATAATAATAATTCAAAATTTTGAGCCGCCGATCCACATATAAATTGACACGTGATTCCCACTACCCTTAAATCACATAGGAACCAGAAGAATGATTGAATGACTTAAATATAAGTTTACGTCTGATAACTGTTGTGTATCAAGTTGTTTTGCATTTCCAAAGAGCCCAAACGCGTACAGTTTTTCGTATGTGAATGTGAGATTATGTTGTCTTTAGCACCTCTGACATTTTTTATTATTATAATTAATGTTAATATTAATAATAACAATGAAAAAGCACACCAATCATTTATCATGATAAATCATCACCTTCGCTATATAAAAGATACAAGTTCTGTTTACATGATATTTTCTAAAAAAAAATAGGGCAATAAGTGCAATCAGTATGAAACAATAAACTGATAAAAACGACACGTCTTTGAAAACATACCAAAATGTTTTGAAAAAAAAAGATGTGTTGCACAATAAAACGTATTAAAAATTTTCCAGGTGGACTTTTATATTAATATATATATTAATTCGTGATCCGTGAAACATTTGCAAAATTTTCATAATTTTCATAACAGAACAAAAAAGTCATTCGTGACAAATTTCATACTTCATTCATTACACTAATATCGTCTGAAACATAGCCAATGGTAGTAGTAGTAACTGAAAAAGTATCTTGTGGTATTTTTTCAAATTTGATATCAAGTAAACATGCTTTAATGATGGTTAACTAAAATTATTATATAATATGTTAAAAAATAATTAAATAATTAGCATTTAGTATTAAAATATTATTAATGAATTCAAAAATTACAAAATTACATAAATGATCCATTCTCAATATAAAATTTGGAACATGCCACAAAGAAAATTTCATATCCGTTGATAATTTCTGGTGTATTCTTCAGAAATTGGCTGAAAGATTATAAACTCCAAATCAAAAAACTCTTTTAACTCTTCACCTTTTCCTTTTGCTTCACCTGATACAATTTTATATTTTTCAGTAAATTTTTCCTTATAGTTATTAACAATAATAATACCAGTTGATTGACCAGGCATTTTTATTTTTATTTTAATTTAAAAAAAAAAATTTTTTAAACCAAATTTTTTTTTCGTTATTTTATTATTTTTATATTATTGTATATAGCAGAAGGTTTACTTCCACCAATATTACCTGGAATGCCTGAAGATTATGTGCAAATGATGTAGAGATGTTGTAATGTAGGTCCATCATAAAGACCAACTAGTAGAGAGCTTTATGATTTTGTTTATGATATAAATAGTGAAATTATTAACAATAATGGTAATAATAGTAATAATACTATTAGTAATGGTGGTAGTGATTTGCAACAAGTATACAAACCACATCCAGATGCATACCATACAAGTAAAATATTAGATGAAGAGATTACTAAATCAAAAAGCTTTAAAATTTATACAAGTAATCATAGTTCGTTAAATAAACTCTTTTTTCTAGAATGTTAACAAAGGTGAATAAAATTTCATTATCAATCAATTGGAAATTACTATCCATTTATTATTATTAACATTAATTAATCAATAAACATTCGTCAAAAGAAAGAATCGATTTAATCTCCACTATAAATTTATTATCATCTTTTTATTTATCTTTTTATTTTATGCTTATTTTGTTTCTCAAAGCTAAATTATAATAATATTTCCTATAATAAACTTTTTACATTTTTTAATTTTTGTTAAATGGTGGTGGTATTGCGAGGTGTCATACAATTACGGATTAATTTTGGGGCTACACTTGTCAGTTAATAACTCACAATAATTCGGTGCTTGTCAATTAACTACCAAAAACCCTTTACAGATCCTAAATCGTCATACAACGTGTTAATGTTAGTATATTTTCGGTCACGAAACCGGGATTCAAAAACACTTTTATTTTGTTGTTATTATTATTATCGGTCGATTTCGATTCAATGATCGATAAACAAACAATATTGACCATTTCAGAGATGATGAATGATCTGGATAGGAAAATTTTTATTTTTAATTTCCTTTCGGAGAAAATAAATAAAATCCATTGATTAATCTTTGCAAAAGATTTTTTTTTTTTTTAATTAAGAAAAAAAAAACTTGATTGAATTTTTTTTAACAACCGAAATTTGTAAATAACTTTTGATGTTTACATGAAGATTATTCTCCTATAGCGATAGACTTGGGAAAAAAAAATCCAATCGATCCAATTGACCTTTAACCTGGGGATAAATAAATCAACACGAGGAAAAGTTCAGGACAAAGAGATCTTTTTTTAACATTCGGAATTCTTAAATAACTTTTGATCCATGTGAGGGCTCTTCTTTGCGAAAGATCTTTTATTAAATTAATTAAATGTGAACAATTTCCCTTTGTATATGTAATTTTTTTAAATAATTAAATAAATAAATTTTTTGCTCAACGCAAACGAATAAAATAAAAATATTGATATAATAATAATATGACTATGTTGATGCTCCGAACGAATATACAGATACCTCACATTTGAATGTAACGTGTAAAGCCAAATCATACATAGAACTTCATTTCGGCACTACGTGCCTCGACCCTCGAATTCGAATGCAACGTAAAAAGCAAAACCAATGCACCATTTTTGGGGGGTGGTGGATCTATTTATATGTTTTGTTGTAATTTATTAGGCTACTGGATCAATGCACCATCTGCCATGAAATAGTCTATTTTTATCAATGATTGCATTATTGATCATGAATTCATGATAGGATGCTAAGATACTTCGCATCCAGTGTTAATTTTGATGCTCCGAACGAATATATACGTATGTGATTGAGTCGTATGATTTTGTAATACTATGACACCAAAGAAATAACATTGCACTATAATGCTAATCTATATTTCACGAAACTCGCTGTTACGTTTTCCTTTAAAAACTTGTTTTTCTTTGCGGAGAACTGAACGACATGTAACAAAATTTTTTCGTACAACATTTTTTTGATTTCCTTCAAGTTTTTCTAACAGGATTAAGTGATAAGGATGTAAATTGAAAAGCGAAAAGCGAGCCTTTAATTTTTTTAACGAGTGATAACTGCAGCCGAAGAAGGAAGAAGTATGCAACAAGGTACAAAAACATATAAATCCAGTTATAATGAGATTAATAACTAATAACAATTTCATTATTTAAATAACAACTTTATCATCACCAAACTCTAACGATCGATTTATCGTGATTCAACAATAAAAGAATTTCAGCATTCTTTGAAGAATACAAAATTAAAACTTGAAAAATATATACCAAAACCTGTCTTATGTGCTATGAAAAGGTCGTTCAAAGTACCAATATTGATAAGCCTATGTTGCTTCAAACTCAGACACTAAAGACAGCTCAAGCACATTATTAATATTATTGCCAATTTGAATTTTTAAAAAAACAAAAATACTTATAAAAAAATTACCTCATCCGTCGACCTTTACATCAGCTTCCTCCTCGACCTCTGTCTCGATTCCACCACCAGCTTCTTTGCCAACCTCCATACCAGCTTCCTCCCCGACCTCTATCTCAATTCTACCACTAGCTTCTTCAACCTCCACACCAGCTTCCTCCTTAACGATCTTCTCAGTTTCTTCACCCTCCTTTTCATAATTTATAGAACTAAGAAATTAAAATGGATGTAGATTTATCAAGTATTTTTTCTGAATTGTTATTTTAGTATTAGCAAATAGCATGACAATAACCACCATTTTTTTAATAACTATTACACAAAGTTGAAAAATCGAAATATCATTATTGGAAAACAATTTATTTTTGGCAGAGTCCAAGAGGACAAAACGCGAGTGTACTAGCTTTGGCTCTGAAGACATGTTAATAACTAATCAGAGATATTATTTTTTATTTGTATTGATAATGGAAATCAAAATGCGGAGCAGAACTTGCTGGTAATTATAGGGTTCCTATCAAGATGATAAACGATTGGTATTGTGCATTTCATAATCGCTATTAAACATTTGAATATGCAATTTTTTGATCAAAGATGTTAAAGCATGCATGATGAGTGAGAGAGTATCAAAAGGTGAAGATGTTACATTATGCCTCTAATTGAATTAAAAGATACATATATATTTGACAACTTTACTCCAACCAAAAATTATGAAAAAAATCTTCATTCCAGTGGCAGCAATTAAAGAGTAATTGTCGTTGTCAAAACTGATCATTATAAAAAAAGCAAAGGAGTGTTTTATTGGTATTAGCAATTCAAGTATGGATGGATCCTGCTCTTATCATAATATTTTAAGTTTTTGTTATTATTTGGAAAAACTACCTTTGGAGCTATCTTTTGAATAATTTGTTGTTGTTGATAATGTTGATGTCATTATTAGTAAAGGCTATATTATTGTAAAAATTACTTATTGATGTCAATCAAGTATGGGTGATTTTTCAGTTCTTAATGCATGACAAACTCAAATTCATCCAAGATCATTTCTTAGAAAATTGATTATAATTTATTAAAATATATAATAACTAAAAGACTTTGCAGAAAAATACAATAATAGTGTTAAATATTAAAAAATTTTTGATAATTATATTTTACACATTAATGATAATGATAATAATTAGTGTTCTTGAGTCAAGCTGGTTCGCTATATATTTTTTTATATATGGCAAATCTAATAAATAATAATAATAAGTTTAATAATAATCTAATTGATTTCATTGCTTTTGTCATCTTCTATTGTTATAGCTGTTGAATTTTCTGTGTGATCAATATATTTTTCATCTATTATTGGATCATTTGTATTTTGATGAGATTTAGTTATTGTATTATCATTAATGATTTTAGTGTCAACAATAACAACTCTTTGTTGTTCTTTTTTTGCTATTGAATACAAAACTCCAGAAAAAAATCCTAATTTTTTGAAAAAAAATTTTATTAACAATATTAAAATAAGCCATTTTCAAAGAGAGACAACAACAAGAAAAAGAAAGACCAATTTTTGTTTATTTACCAACAAGAACGGCAGATACACTTCCAAAGGTTGTAGGATCACCAAAAAAAATCATTCCACTTGCAGCCATTGGTAATTTGTTTAATGCACCAACCATACTGTAAGTGGTACTTGAGGTAACTCTAATACACCATGCAGAAGCATAAGAAATTGTAAATGCTGATATTCCAGAGAATAGAATTGATATTATTAATGTATGTCGAACCTCAATCGGACTAATTAATAATAATTATTTAGTTAATTAGTGAATCATAATATAATAAATGATATATTTATATATACATATATATTTGTTAAAGTTCTTACAAATTTTTTTCTAAATTAGTGTAAGACCAATCTTCTATAATTAAACTCATGAAAACCAATAATGGAATTGATAATGTGTTGTTATAATATACAGTGTCATAATCCTTAAAATTGGTTGATTTAATTCTTTTCCTCATAAATAAAATAAATGCAGCCGAAGAAATACAATTTAAAGCCATCCATATATAACCAAAATCAATTGAAGAAAATGTATTTAATTTTACTGTATTGACTGAATCGGATGAAGCTGCTATTATTGAAGAAAATACCTATTTGTAGTAATCAATATAATTATATTAATATTAGATATATTTAAAATTAAAGAATAAATAAATAAATATATATAAATTATTATACCATCAATAGAAAACTTGTCATCATTAATCTTGTCACTGAGCCCCCAAACCATAATACTTCACCGTAGGCAATAAAAATGATCGTTAAATTCTTGAATATGGTATATATAGGAATTGCAAGAAATTGTAAACTGGAAAATAATATAAAAATTCCAAATTTAAAGAACGAACAAAATGAATATACATACATATATATATATATATATATATATATATTAAATCACAAAAATATTTGTTTACCTTTTGCTTCCTGTATAAATCATAGCAACAAGTAAAAATGCAACAGGTGACCCTTTAATCAAACAAATTCTTAATTAATTCAAACCTTTTCTTTCTTTTCTTTGAAAATATATTTGCAAATTTTTCAAAAATGATATTTACAAGTTTTTGATAGTTCAAGATCAATTCCTTTATAAGAAACCAAATTAAATAATTTGAATATTTTTAAAAGTAGTACACAAACAATTGACTATATTTATTTAATAAAATATTAAAAATCTTTTTCAAATAAAATTAAATAATAATATTTTGTAAATTACCTGAACACATAACAAGAGAAAATTCATGTTGAAATCATATCCTGACAATACATATTTATTTGTTACTGTCATAAGAATACTAGAAGCACAATAAGTCATAATTGGTGGTATTCCTGCTGAAAAAATGGTTGATAGTCGTTCTGGTTCTAGTGGTTTTGAGGAATCCGAATTTTTTTTAACCGTTGCCTCATTTTCCTCCTGTTCCTCAATTAGAATTTTATATTTACTCATGGTTAATTAAAAAAGACAATAATATAGAAGTTACACTAGATTAAAAAAAAAAAATGAAAAAGTTTTAATTTTGAAAGATAGAGAAAAAGAAGAGAGATTGTATATATATACAATATTAATATACGAGAAAGGTAAATGTCGATCACTATATGACCTTATCCAGTAATCTGTAAAAATACATGCAGTTTACGAACGAGTAAATACAAGTTCAAGAGATACCCGATATAGAGGTTGCACCAACTGAATATTCCTTCATTCAATCAATTAAATTTAATATTCAAAATATTTGGATATTCATTCGATCATCATTGAATTAATTATTCAGTGTGAATATTCATTGTTAAAAAAATTTTACATTCTATCAAAACTATCAATCTTTTCTTTCAAAAAAAAAAGCGGATCAAGTCTTGAACCGGTCAAAACCTAACGAGTTAAAACCGGTTAAGTATATATGTAATTTATGATTTAATAAAATTTCTTGTAATAATGAAAAATTTTTATGTCTTTACATTATGAATCAACTGTTATATTATCTCAATAAAACTATAATAATACCAAAGCAAATATATGATAATTATAATTACAAAGATTTCAATAGGTAGTAAATCAATTTAGTTGTATCTCACTTTTACTCTCCATTCTCTTGCATTCAGCCGATAATGTTAATGTGGCTTCATTTCATCTACTGAAACAAAGATTTACGACGTTTCGTGTTGATCCTTTCCATTTATCAGAAATTGCGATAAATTAATCGATCAAGGTTAACCTTTATTAAGGTCGCGTTTACAGGTACACACACAAGTATTTAGTGGTAGCAGCTAACTTTGATAAAACAGGGGAAAAGAAAGTTAAAAATACCTTATTTTTATCATACAAAGAAATAAACAATTAATAAATTAATAACCAATACTGTTATTGCCATCACCATTGTTGTTGCAGCAGCTGTTGCTGTTGCTGTTGTTATGAGGTTAACCACAATGCAAATTAATTGATTGCTAATCAATTTATTATTTTTGCGCATTCACATTCACATTGCCACTGAAATTGTTGTTGATGATATTAATAGGATCTAAGTTTTGACGAATAGTGTGTTCGTTGTGATTGAAGTAATGCTAGGTTGTTCATTATATAGCATAATTTCATGATGACTCATTGTTTATTTTTTTATTGATTATTGTTTTTTAATAAATTTTATTTATTTTTTTTTATTTTATTTTTTTTAAAAGCTCTTCGCATTATAAAATAATATAAAACCCATTACCAAATTTATACAAGAAAACTCCAAAAATTTTCTTTTTTGAACTTGGACGAACATTCTAAAGATATGGAACGATCAAAGTATTACAAAAATTTCCTTTTTGAACTTGGACTATCTTTTCAACAAGATACAGTTAAATTCATATGCGATAAATTCATAATTTTTCAGGAACTACGTAGTGCCACTTATACGTATTAAAAATTTATTCGATAATTTTATATTTATAGTAATAATAAAATCTCGATAATTGGAATAATTCGATAAATTCATAACTCTCTGACTTTTTGTATATGTCACCATATATGAAATCTCGCTCTTTAAATTCATATAATAAGTAGCCAATCCCATTCATTTTTCTGAAAATATATTCTTTTGTAGTAATAATAATAATAATAAAATCTCGATAATTGGAATAATTCGATAAATTCATAAAATTTACTGTGTCGAAACTATGAATTTAACGAGTTTTGACTGTACAGAACGACCAAAAAAAATTTTTTCTGCAAAATATGTTACACGTATGTTTTTGATATATAAAGTGAATATTTCAAGCCTTGTATCTTGTTATTGTATTTAAGTAAACATGTTCCAAATATATATTATACAAAAAACTCAATTTTGGTCAGAGAACCCCGTGATTGGTTTTTGCTGTAAAACCCTCCATATCATAGTACCATATTTTATAATATCAACAAGCTCACATAAATACGCAGTTTAATGTCTACTTTAATCCACAAAGGTTTACATGTTAGTTTTTTTTTCAGTGAGTGACATATTTTGGCTTGAATTTTCGATATAATCGCGTATTTTTCCGCAAAAATCATCCGCAAATTCATCACCCATAATATTATCCGAAGAAAATTATATTTAAGAATTACGTTTACATATAAGATTGATTTATGTATAATTAATTTATCAATTCTCAATTAATTCAATATTATGTTTTCAATAATATTAATAACTATGATTACAATCACTAATCCATAATTCTTCTAATTAATTCATTATAACTATCCTAATATACTTGTTGATACTATTCGATCTTATTGCTACTTATTATTACTCATCCTTTTTTTTATCACTCAAGAAGAGCATAGTGGAAATTTGAAATGTTACATTAATTTTTTATATTGTGCAATGTAACTTTACAATAAACGGCAAACATTCTGGCAATAAAAAGTAAGTGATAAATTGGATTTGAATTGAATCTGAACTTGATCTCCAATTTAGAGAGGTAACAACTATACACTGGTGAAGTTTTAGGTGCAATGGGTTCTATATAACGTTTCGTGTAATAACAAACTTCCACTATGCTCTCAAGAAGTAAAGATCTTTTATACCTCCTGAAGTTTCACGAAAATATTAAGGACTATTGTCTATTTTATTAAATTCGAAACATATAAATGTACGGTCATTCCCACATTTTTTTCGTACCGCCAACAACGTAGTGAGTGATATTTCTCTCGGGCCATTTGGTGTAAAGAACTTACTCAACCTCTATATTCGTTCACGACGTCTCTGTCCTTCAGGTAATTAAGATAACGAATGAGTGTATACGTTATGTGAACACGTTCAAATTATTATTATAATGATACAAAATAAATAAATCAAGTTGATCATTTAAAATTTTTTTTTTATTGATCCCTTTGACTCAGGCAGCTCAATCTCTTGTATTCAGAAAGGAGAGTTTTGTCTAGGGATGTCTACCGAAACTATTTCAAGCTACCGAAACCTAAACTGAAAACAATCTATAGTACGATTAAAAAAATAAAATTCAAAGAATTAATTTTAATTTTCATTCAATTAAAATTGAAAAAAAAGAATAAAAACATGTAATTTATATCGTTTTGTTAAATTTTCCATCATTATTATGTCTAGGAAAATAACGACGAAAAAAAAAAATTCTAGGAAAAAAAAATTAATTGAACAAAAACGTATTTAATAACCATGCCTGAAAAGTTTCAATAAGTATCTTTCTTGTTTTTAATATTTTTTTTATAAACAAACATCATTTTTAATAAATTTCCTTTGAAAACTTTTAAACTCGAAATATTAACCTTAAATTTTCGGGTATGATCATTACGTGTTTTCAATCATTTTTTTTTGGAAGAGAGAATAAATGGTCGAGATTTTGTTTTTTTAATATTAATTTAATAAAAATGATAAATATGTGAATTTTTTTCATATATAATTCGGTGAACCTAAGTTGCAAAACGGAACCTTTATTTAAATTATTGTTAAATACATTTTTGTGCAATTTTTGATTAAAAATGCGCCCGACTTTTGTCCAGGTAATGTATATACTATTAATTCTAATAAGAAAATAAATTTAAAAGAAGTGTTTGATAGATATGAAAATGATGAAGATACAAGTGAAAATGATAAAAAAATCAAGAGGTCAGGCAGGTGAAGAAAGAAATCACGAAATGATTATGAAACAAATGAAGAGGTCAGGCAGGTGAAGAAAGAAATCACGAAATGATCATGAAACAAATGAAAAAGGTCTATATAGAATATTCCTTAAAAAAAAATATTATTATTTATATTTATTATTTATTTATTAAATAAATTATTAAATAAAATAAATTTGTTTTTATAACGACTTGAATTTTTAATTTTATTAAATAAATTATTAAATAAAATAAATTTGTTTTTATAACGACTTGAATTTTAACCAAAATTTTTATTATATTTATAATATAAAAATTAAACTCTAATATATATATTTATTTATTTAACACGCCGTAGATAAGAAGATTAAACATTTGAAGAAAATAAATTAACACATTGATAAATAGATTATATAAAGTCCGTCATTATCGTGTTTTTTTTTTTATGAATTTAAATCATGACGACTTTTTATAATTTAATCTACTTCTTCCATAGAAGTTTCAACCGAAGCTTCATCAATAGGATTAATTGTTTCCTCAGCTTCCACAGCCTCTGTATCGTCACCAATATCAAGACCAAGTTTAATCATTTTGAATATTCTACCAGCAAATGATGATGGTTCATCCAAACTAAACCCTGATTGTAAAAGTGAAGTTTCAAACAACAGCCATGTAAGATCTTTAACTGTCTTGTCATTCTTGTCAGTTTCTACTTTTGCCTTGAGTGATTTAACAATTGGATGGTTTGGATTGATTTCCATAATTTTCTTTGATGCCATGTAAGATGACATGCTTGAATCACGAAGAGCTTGTGCTTTCATAATACGCTCAAAGTTAGCAGACCAACCATACTGTCCAGTCACAAGCACACAAGGTGATTCTGAAATACGATTTGACACAAGCACCTATTATTTATATAAAAATAGTTTTTATTAATATTAAAAAAAATTTCCATGTTTATTAGTAAACAAATAATAAATAAATTATTATTACCTTTTCAACTTTGTCACCAAGTATATCTTTAATTAATTTACATAACTCCTCATATTGCTTAACTACTTCTTCATGTTTTTTCTTTTCATCTTCATCTTCATCAAGCTCTAATCCTTCTTTTGTGATGCAAATAAGTTTTTTATCATCATATTCTTTAAGTTGTGAGACGGTATATTCATCAATTGGGTCAGTCATAAGCAACACTTCATATCCCCTCTTCTTGAGAACTTCAACAAATGGTGAATTTTCTACAGCTTGGCGATTTTCACCAGTAATATAATATATTGATTTTTGTTTTTCAGGCATTCTTGTAACATAATCCTTTAATGATGTCATTTCTTCACCAGATTTTGTAGAGTGATAACGAAGGAATTCTGCTAATTTAGCACGGTTTTGTGCATCCTCATGAACACCAAGTTTAAGGTTTTTAGCAAATGCTTCATAAAATTTGGCAAAGTTTTCCTTATCTTCAGCAATTTCACTAAACAATTCAATACACTTTTTGACAATATTTTTTTTAATGACCTTTAGAATTTTATTCTGTTGAAGTGTTTCACGAGAAATGTTAAGAGGCAAATCTTCAGAATCCACAATACCCTTTATAAAACTAAGATATTCTGGTATTAAGTCTTCACAGTCATCCATAATGAATACACGTCTAACGTAAAGTTTAATATTGTTACGTTTCTTTTTGGTTTCAAACAAATCAAAAGGTGCACGTCTTGGTGCGAAAAGAATTGCACGGAATTCAAGCTGTCCTTCAACTGAGAAATGTTTAACAGCCAGATGGTCCTCCCAGTCATTGCTGAGTGATTTGTAGAAAGCAGCATATTCTTCATTGGTAATGTCTTCAGGATTGCGAGTCCAGATTGGTTTGGTTTTGTTAAGTTCTTCAGTTTCTTTAGTCACCTCTTTAATTGTCTTTTTCTTCTTTTCTTTTTCTTTTTCTTTATCTTCATCCTCTACTTCTTCAATCTTAGTTTCCTTCTTTTCTTCATCTTCTACCACTTCCATTTCCCCTTTATCTGTTGCATCTTCATCATCAACTTCTTTCTCAACTTCTTTTTCAACAATGAGTTGAATTGGATAACCAATAAATTCAGAATGCTTCTTTACAATTTCTTTTATTTTTTTTTCCTCAAGATATTCAAGTTGATCTTCTTTAAGGAAGAGTTTGATTTCAGAACCACGTTCAAGAGGTGGATTGACTGTATCAAGTGCAATGGTGAAGGAACCACCAGCAGCAGATTCCCAAATGTATTGTTCATCATCATTGTGCTTTGTGATTACTTGAACTCGGTCAGCAACCAAGTAAGCAGAGTAGAAACCCACACCAAATTGACCAATCATAGATATGTCAGCTCCAGATTGAAGAGCCTCCATGAATGTTTTGGTGCCAGATCTAGCGATCGTACCAAGATTATTTACAAGGTCAGCCTAAAATAATGACAATGGTGTATTTGAAATTAATGAGAAAAAAATAAATAAATCATATTCATAAAACATCACACAATATAATTTGATTAATGTAGGATCAAAAAAAATAAAAAAATATGTACCTTTGTCATACCAATACCAGTATCTCTAATAGTGAGCACTTTGTTTTCTTTATCAGGAATTATCCTTATATAAAGTTCGCTTCCACTTTCAAGTTTTGAAGGATCAGTGAGGGCTTCATATCGAATTTTATCCAAGGCATCAGATGAATTGGAAATCAATTCACGAAGGAAAATCCTATTTATTAGTTGGTTTGTGCAGCAAAATATAAATATCAAATAAATTAAAGTTTCTCCAACATATATATATATGTGCATGTATACATAATGTGTATATATATATTTACTCACTCTTTATTTGAATAAAAGGTATTGATAATAATAGACATAAGCTGAGAAATTTCAGCTTGAAATGCAAATTGTTCAACTTCACCCATTTTTATTTTTATTTTTTTAAAAATTTATTAATGTGTTATTTATTTACAAAGTTGTAGAGAAAAAAATTTTTTTTTTTGAGATTTTTTCTTGTTGGACCATCATTTATATATTTTAGATTTTGATATGTAGGGTTTTGTGCTTTATGAAACAATCCCAAATTAAGTAAATCATCAACAATAAACGCAATACCTTTGGAAGATTCTAGCAAATTGTAGAGGAAATGATGTGACACAGTCAAACTATGATTATAATCCGGCACCCAATGAAGTGACTGTAAATGCAATAATTTGAATAAAGCGAAATTTGTATTACGAATAGAAACCATACATTAATATTGAAAACAACAATAAAACAAACAAATAGCTTTTATTGCAAAATAATTAATTTTGTTCTTTTGGTGTTAATGATTGAATCGATCACACAACTAGTAGTCAATTTAAACAGCATTGTTTTTAGAGAATTTATTCAAAATAATATTATTAAATGTATAAAATTTTAATGTTTTTTAATGTTGCAAATTTTTTTTTGATACATCAATCTCAATCCAAAATCAATCATTTATATTTCTTTATTTTCTTGATAAATAATAAATTTATCCTTTGTTTATTTGTTTTAGTAGATTCAAATAGATCAAATGATGAATACACCACTACTACAGCAAAAACTTTGGGCGATGGCTCTTCATTGTTTGCTAAGATCTTCCCATTAATTGATCGAAGAAGTAATAATTCTTAAAGTATAACGATTTTATCAAAAAAATAGTGATATATAATTACATGAACTTGTATTTTATTTTTATTTTTTATTACAAACAAGAACAAGTCGTAAATTAACGACACGATTACCGAGGAAAATAATAACATCAATCTAATAATATTATTAAAAAATTTTGCCTTCTTTGACTTCTTTTTCCTCACCAACATCATCTTTACGCACTAATAATAATAATAATAATAATAATAATAATAATAATAATAATAACAACAACAACAACAACCTTAACATCCGCATTAATACCACTGCAACTGATAATAATGATGGTGTAAATAGTAATCTTGATTCAAATGGCAATGGTTTCAGTAACTTAACAATTATTGCACCAATATTATTTGAAGAAATAACAAGAATTATTTATTATTGCTTTCTCATCATTTATATTTATGTGCACGTAGTGATGTGCCATTCATAGTAAACTTGGTTTTTTCGCGCACAGTGTGTGTAGGACTCACGCGTAGTGAGTGTAAGCATTATGGGCAATGGAAAAAAATCTCGCTTATTATTATTGTGCCACAAACTATTCGCGAACCATTCGCAGCACATCACTACATGCACGTTTGCAATTCAATGGTCGGATCCAAGATGGAAAATTTTGAACTTTTATTTGGTTTAAAATCACCCAAGAGGTCACTAGCTGGATCCGTAGTAATTAATATAATGTTCGCCAAATCTAATATGGCAAGATTAATCGTAATTAGAAGAATTCTTTGGTTATTAATATTAACTTGTTTAGTCACGACGTTGCCTAATACAAAAAAAGGTTGTAGTCTGATTTCCTCCGAAAAGTTCTCTGAAAGTTATCATAACTGGGAAGGTTAAATCTTGTACTGATAATATATTTTCAGGCACATTGCAAATATAAATCTATTATTTATTACTCGTATTTGCATGGATTAGTCGTCTTAACACCATTAATTGCAACAATGAATACACTACACAGTTGATATTAGCAGTATTTATTACACACGATTTATTTCGTCCTCGTAGATCTGGCTATCGAGAAACATTTATTGTAAAGTAAATAATAAAATTCTATATCAAAATTGATATAGACCAAATAACGATTTTAATCTTAAACTAATTTGAAATCGTCAAATAGATGGGCGGATTAGACATAAGATTTAGATATGAAGGTTTAGGTGAAGCAATAGATGACAGATGAATAATGTCACGTGATGATGATGAAGGTGAGCCAAGCAATAATAATAAGAATATTTTAGACCATTTTTAGATTTTATCATCCTTTATTTTTTTTGTATAGATTGCAAAATTAATAATAAATTGGGGGGGGGGGGTTTAAAAAAAACTTCTAATTAATTAGCATTAATACTATGTTTTGTTATTATTAAGATTATAAACCTTTTAGGATCGAAGGTCTTTTTTTTACATTTCATAAAATAAATTCATTCCTTGTAACTTTATCAACAACACCGACCACAACAATATTTTGAAAGCATCAAAATCGACAAGAAAAAAATTATTTGAAGGCTCTTTCACAGTTACTAATCAATAATTTGAAACAATAAATTATTTTTGTTGGCGCTATATATTACTATACATTTATTTCGCCAATCAATACTAACTATAAATTGATAGAATTTGTAAATGTATATATATATATATATAATTTAATAATTTTTTTATTCCCAAAGAAAAATCTCTATATAACAATTAATAATTAAAAAATATTAAATAAATAAATTTTTTTTTGAAGTTATTAATAAACGTAACCATTATCTGACTCGATCAACAATCACAGCCGTAGGGATTTGGGTAAGGCTCGTACTGCGTGACAATTGGTATTTCCTAGTATCAGTTTCTTCACGCCATTTTTCTGGATCGGGTATATCAGCAGTAACCCATGGATGTTTCTTATTAAATAAAATCCAATTCGTTAATTAGTAAATAATATATATTATATTAATATTTTTTTCTTTGACTAAAACATTTAACTACAAACCTTGACTTCATCTAGTGTAATTCTTTTCAAAGGATCTTTTTCCAACAAACTCTTTAGCAAATCTTTAAGATCGGCGGAGATCGAAATATTTTCAGGAAATTGCAATGGTTGATGTGGTATGACACGAAAAAACAATTCAAATTCTGTGTCAGCTATAAAAGGGCATTTTCCAAAAATAAAACAATATAGTGTCACGCCAAGTGCCCAGACATCGATGGCTTTGGTTATCGGAGGACGGCTTTTATCTAACAAATATTGGTGACAATGATGATGATAATGATGATTTTCATAATTTCATAATTTCAAATAGAAGTATATACGTATGTAAAGAAATTTACCAGTACAGCATAACTCTGGAGCAAAAAAAGCAGGACTTCCAGCAGTTTTTGCTAAATCTGTATCATCTTGTGTTGGTGAAGAATTATTATTATTATTGTTGTGGTTGTTGTTGTTATTATTATTATTATTATCATCATTATTATGGTCTGGTATCATAGTTGCTAATCGTTGACTGAAGTGAGATACACCAAAATCAGAAATCTTCACTACATGATCAGCTGTAAGTAACAAATTTGCTGGTTTAATATCACGGTGTATTATGCCTTGAAGATGAACTTATGATTTCATAATAATAATTATGATAATATATATATATATAGTAAAGATAAAAGTGTAGAATATAATAATAGAAAATATATTCAAAGAAGGGAGGAAATTAATTGAAAATGGAATGTTAAAAGATAATAGTAGTATATATATCACACCTAGACAAGATCAGCTAGGGGTCACTCACGATATTCCAAACCCAACACTACATCTCTAAAAGTTTGTCTTGCCTCATTTATAGTCATAAGAGGGTTATCATTTTCATCTTTCCATTTTATTTCTCCGCCTTCCATATACTCAATTACTATCATCAATTGTATGATAAATAAACAATTAATTAATAGATTGTTCAATGAGATTAATTGATAGCGATTATTATAATTATTATAATTCATTTAAAACTAGCTTACCCATATAAATCTTTTTACTCGTTGGGTCATCTATAACTTCTTTCAATCTAACGACATGAGGATGAATGCACTTTTTTAATATGGAAATTTCTCTTCTGATTTTTTGTTCATTGGTTAAATCGTTATTATGTTGACCTAAACGTCTTCGTGTAATTCTTTCAACAATTTTAATAGCCTTGTAAAATATCATCAATTAATAAGAAGAGTCGTTTGTCATGAAAAATAATTGATTTTATTAGCATAAAGAAAAAGAAAAAACTTACAACCAATTCTCCAGTTTCCAAGTCTTTTCCCAACTTTACCTTCCCATGCACACCTCTACCCAATTCTTTTATCAACATGTATTGATTTATCAATTTATTATCTGTCGTTTGCGTTTGCTCATATTTTATAGATATTGTATGTGTTTCTTTAACTTCAGTTATAGGTACTGAATTACTGATACTGCTACTATTATTACCATTACCATTACTACCATTATTATTACCATTATTATTACTATGTTGTTGAGCTAGTTCAGTTGAATTATTATTGGTCGAGGAGGAACCAACATTTTCTTTATCCGAAAAAACACGAAAAAAACGTGAAGTAAAACGTAAACAGCGCATTTCCAATTTGAATAAAAATTCATATATATATATATTTTTTTTTTTAGAAAATTTTTTTTTAAACTAACATTTATATAAAAATTTTTTGTAATTAATTAATTTTAATTAATATCAAATTTAAAGATGTTGAATTTGGTGGTCATACAAAGTATATTTGCTATTATAAAAAAGGAAAATATTTGTGTAATTTATCTAACCTATTTTTTATGTTACAGCACCACAAAATTTTTTTCTGAAATGGGATAAAAAAATCAGAAAATTTGCCGCAGTGGTTGCTAATTCTAGATCAGAAAAAAAACAACCCAAGAATTATAAAAATTTTCTCACGCCAGGTAATTAAAGCCAGATAGTTTAGTATGGTTTGGTATGGTTTGTGATGAACCAATCACAATGTGAATGACAGCAATGTTTGGATTTCTAGCCAACTCACCTTTTTCTCACCTTTTAAATTGAGCATTACTATACGAATATGTGCCGGGCCGTCTTTTTTCCTAATATCAAAGATGCCACGAATTGGTAATTGTATTTTGTTAGTCATTTTCGTAAGTAATCATGTGCATTTACGGTTAAGTCGAATATTACCAATTTAATACAGCAATAATATTTCAAAATTGCAAAAATAAGTTGCTTTACAATGTAAAGTCTCGTTGGTGTAGTTGGTTATCACGCCTGTCTAACACACAGGCGGTCGTCAGTTCGATTCTGACACGAGACAAAAAAGAGGACAAGGTGTTTTTACTTCCACATTCAAAATCCACAAAATTGAAATTATAGGAATTCATATTAATATATACATAAATACAAAACTAATAGATCAACAATATTCTATAACAAAAAACAATTTATTATATTAATATTAGTTTTTACATAAACAAAAATATTTTATCTATCTATAATTTACACAATGTATATATATATGATAACAAGATATCTCTATATACCGTATATATATATATAAATAAATAAAATACTAATTTACAAGTGTTAAGCCGTCACAGGTTTCATTCTTAATGCCAATTGTTTGTTGTATAATGTCCTGAATTGTTCTAGAACCATAAATGTTACAACAGTATGAGGTCCTAGACGTACAAATGACGGCACCCAGCCTTTAAATAACGCAAAAGGTCCTTCTTCACGAATGATTACTCCTAAGATACTAACAAGATTCTAAAAATATAGATATAGATGTTGTTTACTTGGTTTATTGATTAAAAATAAAGTTCATTAAAATATAAAAAAGTGATTAACCTTAGATTTTGATGCTGAATTCATCACACGCGTTTTAATAACATCTACTGGTGAACAAATAGTTGTAGCAACCAACCCCTAAATTAAAAATATGCAAGTGATTAATAATCTTACTATAATCGGTAATCACTCAATTAATCAATGATTAATTGATGATTAATTGATAAACTTACGGCAAACAGACTACAACAGAAATGAGTGATGATGTTATCTTTAAAAATACGAGTTTTCAATAACATCTGTTTGAATTGATCGTAAGAAACCAATTGAGATGAATTCATCAATATGGCACGATTCGTATTTGGTCCAATACCTCTGGTAAGACCTGAAAATCCCTCCTCTTTTATAATACGTATCAAACCATCTAACGCATGTTTGTAATGACGCATTTCACTTGGTGGTAGTTTAGCATCATTCTGCATACGAACCATCACAATATCTGCAGGATTACCAAAAGCTCCACCTATACATCCTGATATAGATGCACAAGTTATTTTCTTTATAAGGGAAAGAGGTTCTTTTTTTATTTTTTTAAAAAAAAAACTTGAATAAAATTATTATAGTAATTTTCAAATAGATCATTGATAATAGAAGACACTTACCACCGTCCTTTGATAAAAATAATTTCAATTTATCATAAGTACCAAATCTCATTGTAGAGTATGTTGCTTGTCTCAACAAACTTGCAGACAGTCCACTATACAATCCCCTCCAACCTTCCGTTTTTACAATATGAACCATTGTTGTAAGTGATGATGCTTTGTTAGCACCTATGGTTGTTTGAAGACGTACTTTGGTAAGATCTAATGGATGACTGACAGTACATGCTACACATGAAGCTGCACCTCCCAACCAAAATGGATAAATTATTTGTTTTGTTTTATTATCGTTTGGACTTGAAATTCTTGGTTTGGATGGTGCTGAACTAACCATTCTACATAATATTAAATTTATATAAAAAATTTTGCATTCTATATAAAGTATTTTAAGGAAAACATATAATTACTTTATAGATGTATGGATCTCAAATGCAAAGAATAGTAAAAATGAATGCTATTACTATTACTATCATATATGCATATCGGAAAAAAAAAATAGATAAGGAAAAACATAATTTCCATCAATTTCCCAAAAAGTAAATTTGCTATTACAATCGTACCATCTGAAAGTTGCTCATCAATTGGGATTTATTTAAGTTCTTGGCTGGTCAAGAGTTGTTCAACTTAACCACCCAAGGGGTTTTCTACCGGCTTATATCAATAGTATTTATTATTATTATGTTATTTACACCTGAAATTTTGATATTGTGTAGACAATTTTCTGTACCGGCACTTACACTGTATCGAGTTTCACGTGTAATGTGTAATAATTAAATTTACAAGGATCCTTGTAAACAGCAATGTATTAATAAAAAAGAACTGATGATGTGAAAAGTCACTGTTACCGTTGATGTCTTTACAATAATATATATAAGGCGTTAGTGTTTGAGTATAATAAGGGTCGTTATCGTCACCCTAATGAAAGCGTTTTGCAACGAATTTCCATCACTACTACGAATGTAACTATGCCAGCTCTGGGTCTTGCATACATACTGTCAACTTCCCAAATCCATGAAATTTTGATACTAAATAAAAACCCGGTCGTATTTATAGAATTTCTCTGACCAGGTTTTCTTGTTTGTCGACTTTCATACACTTAATATATACCAAATATTCAATGTATCGAGCAAACAATTAAATTAATTCGTAAATTCTATTAGAGCTTTTAAAATTTTTTAAAACTCGCAGAAAATCCTGCAATGATAAATCTCAACCTTCATTTTGATATAAATTATTTTATTTCCTTGAAATTTTGGACGTCATTTATTATAATTGAAATTGGATATAATCAAAGTAAAGTTTTAAAAAAGTTAAATATTAAAAATTCTGCATTTTCCTGTAGTTTCTTTTGTTCATTTGTTCAAGTAAAGATTATATCTAGAATAAAATCTCTGTTCTGATCTTGAAAAAATTGGTTTTTTTTTGGTTATCAGGCGGGATAAAGGATCCAGACAATTTTTTTAATACTTCCATAATATATATTCTTGTCGAGTCTCTTTTCAAACAGAAGTGGAGTTTATAGACGATCTTTTGAGATAAAACTTTTTTATAATAAAAATTGCCATTTTGCTAATCCTAATGTCTTCATATTTTTTTTAATTTAAAATTTTTTCTACAATATCTAAAGTAAGTTTCATATTCACTATATGTATGACGACTAAGATGACGAGTCACGATAACTACTATTCTAATTCTTTTTAACTAGAATGACGACTAGTTGCAATGATTGCAACAACAACCACCATTCTTTTTAAATAAAAAATACTTACTCTCATACGAATATTTAGCCTCGGTTGTTTTCTTCAAAATATTTATTATTACGCGTGGAATTGTTCAGCCTATTTTCCGAATCTTTCAATAAATTATTTACAAAGATCTTGTCATCGAGTCAAAATATGGGATGTTGTTGTCGATGATTAACTTTCTTGTTGCTTCTTTAAAATTGCACTTAATCTTCCTTTGATGCTGCTGGTTGAAAATACACAATGTTTACCACCTCTATGATTATCACTAGACACAGAATGAAGAATTTCACTATTGATTCGTACAAGTTGATGAACTATCAATTAATCAATATACATTGATGGCGTTGTGTAAAATAAGCGAAGAAATTACTTTTCTTCTTCGAGCGCTTTAAATAAAAGGAATTTTTATTGGTTAGTTTTTAGAGAATAATAAAAATGTCCATCCAGACAATTTAAAAAGACAAAACTTTTGAAAGTGATCAATTTGTTTTTTTATATCTTTTATGAAGATGGAGCATTATAAAGTATATTATGACATTACGGCCTACGACATTACAGCTTTTAATTACGGCTATCATTCAGATGCCGTAATATTATGGCATTCACAAATCAATTTGGGCTTGCATGTATAATTGGGTTTTTTTTAAGATTAGCAAATCTTTCCATTTTATACTTTTACGTATGTATGATTGTTGTATAAAAATTTATAACGGATTGAGAGGTTTTGGCTAGTACTAGATAAAATGAATGAATTGCCGATTTTGTTTAGCATTGCATTAGATTATATTTGGTCACCAATTTCCAGTTATACAGTCGAAAGGAGTTTTTCATTTACAACCAAATTTAACTAACCCTTACTTTTTTTTTTATGTTTATTCACCTTTTTTATTTTATGCTTCAATGCATTTATTTATCATAAAAGATTGCCGCATAATTTCGCACATTTATAAAATGAGATCAAATGAAATCGCAAATTACCTTATTATGTCACAGGAAAAAATTATCATCCTTGAATCCATCTCATATATCTAGGGTCACAACACCTACATGCAGAATCATCTATTGTTATAGTAAGTACTTAAAATTAAAGCCCCAATGCTTTATGCACGTGCATTGTAAGCTTCCAGTCAAAATTTTTGTCCCCGGAAACAATGTCACGTAGACCCAAACTACGTATAATAATCAAAACAATAAGTCAAGAACGAAACCCAGAATGGTGGAGGAATATACATATTAATGTAGAAACAGTTAAAGTTACTTTGAGAAGAATCAGGATTTGATTATAAAATTTAGTGATAAATTTTACTAATTTATAAATGTTACTTGAATGTCGTTTGGGTTTTCTAGACTTTCTACTACAACAAGTGATAGTATTAAGGAAAAATAAAATAAAAATTTATTCTTAATGGTCTAAAATTCTCAAATTTCCTGAAACTACTTTATTTTCTAATACGGCATTAGATGGAATATCAATACGTGCACCATGATTAGCAACGATAATTACAGTTCCTTTAAGTTCTACATTGGCTCCAAATGTAACATCGCCTGTTACTGTTAAATGATCAAGTTCAAGGATATATGGTGGTGATTGAAATCGCGCTAAAAAATTCGACACCTAGATAGAAAGAAAGAAAGATTGATTAATAATAATTTTTATATAGTAAAAAAACAATCATTGTTGTTGTTATTACCTTTTTGAATCCATCACCTAATTTCACCAATGGAACAGTTTGGAACAAACGTTTCGGATTCATTACAAGTTCACCATGATTAAGGGAATATAGATCAGATGTCAGATGTTATTAAGAACAGATCAGACGTAGATTTTACAGGCAAGAATCGATTTCTTGGCACATTAATCCCATGAGCATTTGTAAAATGTTTAATAGCTGCACCAACAGCTGTTTCCAATTGTATGACCTTTTCACCAGAATCCAAAGTTTTCTTGTTGCTAATAACCTCTAAATCCAATCCTTTTTCCTCAGTGATACGCTTGATTGCTTTCAAATTAATCCATAGATTATTTGTATTGAAAATTCTGAATTTCTTGATGGATTTAAATTCTTCCATGTGTTCAGCTGGTACTTGTGCTACCTCCAACAATCTAACTTTACCCTCATAATCTATCAGTGTACCACCTTTGATATCAGCTTTTGTTTTGTCAGTGACTTCCATTAAAAATTCGACTTCTGAATCTACAAGATATTGAAGAATTTTCAAATCTGCCACTGCTCCCAAATTGTCAACATTAGAAACAAAAATGTACTCTTTTCCTTCTGCGATCAATTGATCCAATATCCCTGAATTAACCATCGATTCATATAAATCTCCATGACCTGGTGGATACCTAATAAATTATCTCATAAGTAATTTATATAATATATTAACAATATAAATAAAATTTTTTGTTTGTTATATTAATACCATTCACTTATATCACTGTTAGGAGATCTTGGAATAGGTAACAGCGATTCATTATTTATTCTAGGATATCTTGATTGATTAAATGTAAGTATACTAATTTTATGACTTCCATATTTTTGAATGATTCGTTTAGTTTCATCATCAGTGTTAAAAGAATTCATAAGTATGAATGGAACATTAACATTATATTTGCTATTAAGGTACTATTCGTAATGTATATACAATAATAATAATTATTAATTAATGATTATATCCTTATTATCATCATAATGATAGTCATGATTTTACAAACCTCAATTTGTCTAACACTTAAATCTAAAAACGTCATGTTATCTCTTACTTCGATAGCACTTTTAGGACCAACACAACCCATCGTTGTTCCAAGTCCACCATTGAGTTTAAGTACTGCCAATTTCTTGAGATATTCTGTATGTTCACATGTTGGTAAATCCTTATATGAAATAATTTGTTCTGGACTAGGTGACTTGACTTTATCCCAATCTCTTTTTTGAAATCAAAAAAAAATAATATTTTTTTTAATATATGCATATAAATAAATAAATAAATAAATGTATGTATGTATGCATGCATGCATGAATGTATATATATTACAGTTTTGTTCCTTTCAATTGTTCGCTCAAGTAACGAGTAAATAATAAATAAAAATTATCCATTTCATTACGAAAAGCCTACAAATCACCATTAATAATGAAGATAATAAAATTCAATTAATTCAATTATATACATGTATTGGTTGATGTTGTTGATATATAAATAAATACATACTTTTTGAGCTTTCATATCTTGAATTAAATTAACCATTTTATTAAGTTCAATTTTCATGGCTTTAGCTGCAACACCCAAGCTTGCAGTTTGAAAATCCTACAATTTTTATTCAATGTATAGATACCATAATCAACATACCTATTATATATATTTAAATAGATAAATAAATAAATTTAACATTAATTACTGTAGAAGATAATTTGTGAGGATGTCGGCCTTCATTTTCTCGAGAATTTGTAATAGTCATAATTATTTTGTTTAATTATTTTGTTTAATATTAATAAAATAAAAATTTTTTAAAAAATTTTTGATGAGAAAATTTTAAACAGAAAGTGTATATCACATATTAATATGACATAATTATGCAGTCATACACAATAATAATTCTAGTAAAAACTAGACCAAATGTAACAATCAATGGGTGTAATCCTAAAATGAAATTAAACAGGTCATTTAACTTCCAAAATATGTATGGCCGAGTTTGAGGTTGGAATCGACTAAAATAGTCGACTAATTTTAATCGACTAAACTTTTTTTTGAACAATTATAATAGTCGACTACTAATACTACTAATACTAATATTAATGCTAATATTTTTATCATTCAAATGGAAAATTTCTATGCGGAAGAGTATCAATACCATCAATATGATGATGATGACAATGGTTATGATAATTTTACATGTGAACTAATAAACACTTCCGATACAGGTCCAATACTTCATTGGCTTCAAGTTCCAATGATTTAAGCGATAGTTCCAGAAGACCTTTTAAAAAACGAATCGTAACACATGGTTTTGTGTGGAAGTATTTTGAAAAAGTGAAAGATACAAATGGAAATGAATTCGTAATTTGCAAATTAAAAAAAAGAAAAAAAAAAGGATGATAAAATCTAAAAATGGTCTAAAATATTCTTATTATTATTGCTTGGCTCACCTTCATCATCATCACGTGACATTATTCATCTGTCATCTATTGCTTCACCTAAACCTTCATATCTAAATCTTATGTCTAATCCGCCCATCTATTTGACGATTTCAAATTAGTTTAAGATTAAAATCGTTATTTGGTCTATATCAATTTTGATATAGAATTTTATTATTTACTTTACAATAAATGTTTCTCGATAGCCAGATCTACGAGGACGAAATAAATCGTGTGTAATAAATACTGCTAATATCAACTGTGTAGTGTATTCATTGTTGCAATTAATGGTGTTAAGACGACTAATCCATGCAAATACGAGTAATAAATAATAGATTTATATTTGCAATGTGCCTGAAAATATATTATCAGTACAAGATTTAACCTTCCCAGTTATGATAACTTTCAGAGAACTTTTCGGAGGAAATCAGACTACAACCTTTTTTTGTATTAGGCAACGTCGTGACTAAACAAGTTAATATTAATAACCAAAGAATTCTTCTAATTACGATTAATCTTGCCATATTAGATTTGGCGAACATTATATTAATTACTACGGATCCAGCTAGTGACCTCTTGGGTGATTTTAAACCAAATAAAAGTTCAAAATTTTCCATCTTGGATCCGACCATTGAATTGCAAACGTGCATGTAGTGATGTGCTGCGAATGGTTCGCGAATAGTTTGTGGCACAATAATAATAAGCGAGATTTTTTTCCATTGCCCATAATGCTTACACTCACTACGCGTGAGTCCTACACACACTGTGCGCGAAAAAACCAAGTTTACTATGAATGGCACATCACTACGTGCACATAAATATAAATGATGAGAAAGCAATAATAAATAATTCTTGTTATTTCTTCAAATAATATTGGTGCAATAATTGTTAAGTTACTGAAACCATTGCCATTTGAATCAAGATTACTATTTACACCATCATTATTATCAGTTGCAGTGGTATTAATGCGGATGTTAAGGTTGTTGTTGTTGTTGTTATTATTATTATTATTATTATTATTATTATTATTATTATTATTAGTGCGTAAAGATGATGTTGGTGAGGAAAAAGAAGTCAAAGAAGGCAAAATTTTTTAATAATATTATTAGATTGATGTTATTATTTTCCTCGGTAATCGTGTCGTTAATTTACGACTTGTTCTTGTTTGTAATAAAAAATAAAAATAAAATACAAGTTCATGTAATTATATATCACTATTTTTTTGATAAAATCGTTATACTTTAAGAATTATTACTTCTTCGATCAATTAATGGGAAGATCTTAGCAAACAATGAAGAGCCATCGCCCAAAGTTTTTGCTGTAGTAGTGGTGTATTCATCATTTGATCTATTTGAATCTACTAAAACAAATAAACAAAGGATAAATTTATTATTTATCAAGAAAATAAAGAAATATAAATGATTGATTTTGGATTGAGATTGATGTATCAAAAAAAAATTTGCAACATTAAAAAACATTAAAATTTTATACATTTAATAATATTATTTTGAATAAATTCTCTAAAAACAATGCTGTTTAAATTGACTACTAGTTGTGTGATCGATTCAATCATTAACACCAAAAGAACAAAATTAATTATTTTGCAATAAAAGCTATTTGTTTGTTTTATTGTTGTTTTCAATATTAATGTATGGTTTCTATTCGTAATACAAATTTCGCTTTATTCAAATTATTGCATTTACAGTCACTTCATTGGGTGCCGGATTATAATCATAGTTTGACTGTGTCACATCATTTCCTCTACAATTTGCTAGAATCTTCCAAAGGTATTGCGTTTATTGTTGATGATTTACTTAATTTGGGATTGTTTCATAAAGCACAAAACCCTACATATCAAAATCTAAAATATATAAATGATGGTCCAACAAGAAAAAATCTCAAAAAAAAAAATTTTTTTCTCTACAACTTTGTAAATAAATAACACATTAATAAATTTTTAAAAAAATAAAAATAAAAATGGGTGAAGTTGAACAATTTGCATTTCAAGCTGAAATTTCTCAGCTTATGTCTATTATTATCAATACCTTTTATTCAAATAAAGAGTGAGTAAATATATATATACACATTATGTATACATGCACATATATATATATGTTGGAGAAACTTTAATTTATTTGATATTTATATTTTGCTGCACAAACCAACTAATAAATAGGATTTTCCTTCGTGAATTGATTTCCAATTCATCTGATGCCTTGGATAAAATTCGATATGAAGCCCTCACTGATCCTTCAAAACTTGAAAGTGGAAGCGAACTTTATATAAGGATAATTCCTGATAAAGAAAACAAAGTGCTCACTATTAGAGATACTGGTATTGGTATGACAAAGGTACATATTTTTTTATTTTTTTTGATCCTACATTAATCAAATTATATTGTGTGATGTTTTATGAATATGATTTATTTATTTTTTTCTCATTAATTTCAAATACACCATTGTCATTATTTTAGGCTGACCTTGTAAATAATCTTGGTACGATCGCTAGATCTGGCACCAAAACATTCATGGAGGCTCTTCAATCTGGAGCTGATATATCTATGATTGGTCAATTTGGTGTGGGTTTCTACTCTGCTTACTTGGTTGCTGACCGAGTTCAAGTAATCACAAAGCACAATGATGATGAACAATACATTTGGGAATCTGCTGCTGGTGGTTCCTTCACCATTGCACTTGATACAATCAATCCACCTCTTGGACGTGG